TGCTGGTGGGAATGTAGACATTCCCATGGTGAGGTGAGACCACTGTGGAAAGCAGTAGGGAGATTCCTTTAAAAAGTAGTACTGGAGGTCCCATTTGACCCAGCTCTTCCCATGCTTGGTATCATCCAAAAAGAATTTAAAACATTGCACCATAGTGATAAAAGTGCATCCAAGTTTACAGCAGCATAATTTGTAATAACTAGATCTTGGAAATAACCCAAATGTTTACCAACTGAGGAATGGATAAAAAAGATGTGGTCTTTTTATATAATGAAGTACTACTCAGACAGAAAGAATAAACTGGAGACTTTTATATGTAAATGGATGCAACACCAGACTATAACTACAAGTGAAACAAACCAGATGCACATGTGTAAACATCGTATTATCTCTCTAGTGTAAGAATCTGAAAGAGTAAAGAAGATGCAAAATGCACAATAGATATTGAAAAATGGGAAGAAACTTTAAAAGGAAAGAGAAACTAGGATGGCGAATGGGGCAAAGATAGAAGTGAAAAGCAAAAAATAGGACTGGGGAGATAGCTCAGTTGAGTAAGCGCTTCCCTGGCAAGCACAAGGGCCTGAGTTCAATTCGCGGCTTTGCAAAAAAAAAAAAAAAAGAAAAGCACAAAGTAAGGTAAACTACTAATTTCTCTCAGTTCATTGAAAAAGTTTGTGCTAATATTGTTTAATTAAATGCTGATATCTTATACCACAAGTAACTAATTTAAAGATAACAATATGCAATGTATTGGGGACTGCGGAGATAACTCAGTGGTCTAAGTGTCTGCCTGGCAAGTGCAAGAACCTGAGCTTGTTCCCAGGTGCCACATGTAGTGGGGACTTGGAGCACTGGGCAGGCTGTGCAGGCTCCCAAACCTGGCCTGCTGGCGCATGCCTGTAATCCCAGTACTGGGGAGGCTGAGACGGCAAGATCACTATGAGTCTGAACTGTGTAGCAAGACCTTGTATCAAATAAGTAAATAAATTTAAAAAATATGGGCTGGCCAAATAGCTCAGCGGATTAAAGTGCCTTCAAGCAGGTGCAGGGGCCTGGGGGTATGATCCCCGGGCCTGCCATGTTGGACGCCCCCCCCCATGCTGATAATGATGCACCCCCCAGGGGGCGCTGCATGTTGGTCCCGACCGGGGTGGGGGGGCTGAGATGGCAATTGAGACTGGGCGTGGTGGCGCACGCCTGTAATCCCAGCTCTTGGGAGGCTGTGAACACACAGATCACAAGTCCGATCTAGTAATGAGACCCTGAACACCCTGTAGACCCGTCCTTAAAATACAAAATAAATAAAAAAAGAAATATATGCACTGTATCAACCATCATAATACCCTCCTATTCTCTTGTGCTGAAATTTTTTCCTTTTTAGAAAAAATAAAGTGAATTAGGAAGGCCATGAAAAAGCAACAAACTAGTCCTTAATTCAAGGTCATGAAAATTTATAGTTATAATTTCTCTAAGGATTTTAGTTTTGGTTCTTATAGATTTGTTTTGGGGGGGATACTATGGATTGAACCCAGGATTAACATGGACCCGCAGCTCCTAAATTTTTTTAATTTGCAATATGTTCTAAATTGCCTAGACTGGCCTTGATCTTTCTGCTTCCCCTTTCTGAGTAGCTGAGAGTATATGTGTGCACATCACATTCAGCTCTTTTAACATGCAGGTCTTGGAACATTGTCTTGGTAACAGAAAATTAATGAGACATTGGTCTATAATTCTTTTTTGTGCAACAGTTAAGAGTTGGATGTTAAAATCATGCTGGCCTCATGAAATTAGTGTTTCTTACTGCTCTATTATCTGAAAGTGTTGGGCTGATACACTATCTTACATGTCTGATAAAATTCACTGGTGCAGTGCTGAGTCTAGATTTCCTTCGTGGTTAAGTTTTTTTCTTAGAAATTCAATTTCTTAAATAGATATTGGGTTAGACTGTTTTTCTTCTGTGTCAGTTTCCTTTTTTTTTTGGTAAAGCTAGGATCAAACCCATGCTAGTCAAGTGCTCTATCATTAACTATATACTTATAGCCCTCATGCTAGTTTTGGTATTATATTCTTTTAGGAAGCTGTTCATTTCACCTAAATTATTGAATCTACTGGCATAAAACTGTTCACAGTATCCCTTTAATATTTATATAATTCCATTAGAATTTTCATTACAGTGTAATTTCTGTACACAAAGCTACATGACAACAATGAATCAAGAAAAAATAAACGTGTATTACACAGAATAAAAAGGATATATGTATGGGTGCACTAACATACAGCAGGGGAAGTAATACAGTGGTGGAAAGGAGAAATTATATGACAGTATGACAAATACTGTGAGGCACATAGAGAATAAAGTATCAGTCCAATTAAAAGAATAAAGATGGCCAACTAGTCGGTTAGCTTGTTTATCTATAGATAAATATAATCAAATTTATAGCAAAAGAAAAGGCCAAGACTCCAGTTTCCAAGTAATTTATGTGCCATGGCCTGCAGTGAATTGGCTTTCCTTTCCCCGCACAGCTTCAATTAAAAATAAGATACAACTCCTAAGAAAGGAAAGAAATCCCTCACACAGGATAGAAAATTTCAAAAAGTAACTTGCACTCTTGACATTCTTTCCGATCTTTTGGCATACTTTTATACACAATTA